GACCTTTGGTCTGACCCAGGACGGCCATTGTAAGCTCAGGGCTCAGGGTCGGGGGTCTCAGTGGACCCCCTTGATTTTCATGCACACCTGCTCCTGGGTGGCCAGGCTGGCAGCTCTCCTGCCCTGGACGGCCACTTTCCTGTGCCTAGTGCGGAGGTCATGGACGAGGTCCACGATGTCCGCACTAGCCCAGGCGAGTGCCTGCCTCTTGCGGTCCTGGGCAAGCTCCCGGGAGCCACCAGCCTGGTCCCGGGAAGAGGGGGAGGGCTGGGGGGCATCGGGTGGGTGGCTCAATCCGTGCCAGGTGCAAGGTCTGCTTGCTGGGAGCTGGCAGGCTTGCACCTGGGACGGGCACCGTAGCCAGCCTGTGCCCCTTTAAGGGGTCCGGGGCCGGGAGGGGAGCAGACGAGTTTCCCTGGTGTTGGCCAGAGTGGCCACCAGGGAAACCTGGGGAGGGCTAGCCTCCCACTAGTTCGAATTAAGGGGCTACACAGCCCTTAATTCGAAATAGTAAGTTCGAACTAGGTTTAATCCTCGTGGAATGAGGTTTACCTAGTTCGAACTAAGCGCTCCATTAGTTCGAATTAAGTTTGAACTATCGGAGCGCTAGTGTAGCGCCTATGAAAGTTAGTTCGAACTAACGTCCGTTAGTTCGAACTAACTTTGTAGTGTAGACATACCCTGAGTAGTTTCAGGGATCCATCAAGCAGAGCCCATATTAGACTCATTGAGGGCAAGGGCAAAAAAGCCTAAACTCCACTGCATAAGTCTGAAGCCCAAGACCCTGAGCTCTGCCATCCAGGCCTGAAGTTGCAACCTAAGCAACTTACCTTTCTGGGCTCTGCGGCAAGGGACCCTATGTAATATTGCTGTATGCTACCTCCTAATGCCAGCAGTGGCTTTTATATGTAGAAAACCATTTGCTGTGGTTCAGATGGGCCATGGCATTTTTATAGCATGCTGGGGGAGACTCAAAGAAAATAATGGAGAACTCCCGCATTAGAAAGCCTCTAACCTGACATTTTAGACAAGGAAAGATATCAGTCTTGGTTTAAAAAAAAGACCCTCCTTTTTGAAAAATGAATGTCAAGGTATGAGTTGTGCTCTCAAGTAAAAGATAACTAGACATACACAAAAGCTATAACAACAATCATTTATTAAAATATGACCATGCATGAAGTTTTGTTAATTTGATAGTATACATTCTATGCAAATAAGGTACAGAGTCGTACTTTTTATATCATCCTTAAAAAATGATTGATGCGGAAATTCCAGGGGAGAATAAACTCTTATACTTGAAACAATTACATTTGATTAAATCAAATACACTATATACAAATAGCCCTTTTATTCATTCACCTTTCACATATCAGGCCTGAGTATGATTGAAACAATTGAGGCTAGGGATCTCAAGAGAGACTAGTGGAGTCACGGCCCAAATCCCATTATCTAGAATGGAGATGCTTCGCTCTCTTCCGTCCCTTTGAATATCTCAGGATAAAGAGAAATGTGATGTTTGAGTTTAGAATTTTACAGTATTTAATCATTCCTCTGAATTAAAAAATAATCCTGTATTGAGGGGGGAGGGTCACATATTAAAGTACATTATTTATTTACCAATTCAAATACTCTGTTAGCACTGTTGATTTCTTCCTTCCATTAGGCTCTTGATTAAACCCTGTATACACAATTTTAAATGGGAAATGTATCATAAAAAGTAATGCAGCAATCTTAAGGACTCGATCCGTGCCAGGTATATGTACATTAATATATGTACTTAACAACTCTACTCCTGCAATGTGCTCTGAAAAGGTGGAGCTGTGTGCTTGTGTAAAAGCCCCACGGTCTTCAGCATGGTTTCATGTAGATGCATAACTCTGCTCACACAGAGCTCACTGCAAGAGTTGTCCTACCCTTGTTAGAGTGTGTCAAGGAATGGCCTTTGAACTGTAAACTTTTAATATTAGAGAAACAGAGAAAAGGACAACAAGAATCAAATGATACAGAAGCATTCCCAGCCCAACAGCTGACATTACCAAAAGTGCTGGTACCAAGTCAGAGCAGCTTTGTTGGCTTGTGTTCTACAAGAAAGGCCAAGGTTTGAAAATAAACAAGTGAAAATTGGAAATGGGGGCAAGATATTTTCATATTTTAAGTAAAAATGCAGATTAAAGTCTTGCTAAAACAAATATTCGTCAGTTCTGCACAGGTCCCCTGGCTTTACTTCACTTGGAGTTTTGCTTTGACTGAAGGCTAGGGTTTCCACCTTGATATGCAAAGAAACCAATGCCCACACACAAAGCAATTCTGATATCCCGCCTCCCTCCCCAACAGCCACTTATGTAACTCATAAAGATAAAACTAATAATATTGTTTCCTTAAGGTGTGGAAGTGGGAACATAGGAATAATGCAAATCTTTAGCTCTCTGTAAAAAAAGGCAAATTACATTATTAACTGGCAAATACATTTTTAAAAATGGCCCATCCAGTCAAATTCTTGCCATGTGGTAATCCTATTAAAAGCTGGTCCTGCAACTTTTTGGTGTCCATTTTTTAGCTTGGTTATCTCACACATATGGGCATTTTTCATCTTTTGATTTCTCCAATTCTTCCCAGTAAATCAACAGCTCATAAGGTTTCACCTTATGGGATGTCACAATTTTCCGGAAGAGACAAATAGAGAATCCAACCTTATGTAAGAAGAACGTCCGTTCTGAATGAAGTTCCTCTGGCTTGATTTTTAGTTTAGCGAGACACAGTCCTATGAAAACATCCTCCAGTTTAATAAAAGGGACACTTTCTGAAATATTATAAATCTGACTAACAACATCAGTGGAGAGAACATAACCAGTCCCTGAACAAAACGGAGGATATGTGCTTGCTGGATATTCAGCTTCGCTCACATACCATTTGCTGCCTCTGCATCGTATTGGTTGTGCATTCATCATTAAAAAGCCTGTGAAGAATCTGGTGTTTCTGTTTTTTTTTAAAAGAAGTTCACTCAGGTAAAAGATATTGACAAACATATCTGTGTCCGTTTTCATCACAAACCTGGATTGAGAACAAAATATGTGAACCCATTCAATTCCCATCATTGTCTTTAAAGTCAGATTGTAGTATGAATCCATAAAATCCTTCTGTATAATGTCTCTGTATTTCTGACTTTCAAAAGTAATGTCAACTAGATCACTTTCTTTTGTGGTTATTCCCAGAAGGAAATATGTCACAATGCGGTTTCCAGCAACTAGTCTGTGTTTCCCCCACGTTTGACGAATAGCCATCCTAGCTTTTAGCTGGCCAGGTCCTGAGGTCACAAGGAGTACAAGGAAAGGAGGAGTCCTACGGCAGTCGATATCTGGCAAATGCAAAAAGTTTCTGGTATCTGTTGCAGAAGTCAGGTCCATGACCTCTTCCCTCCTTTGAGAATATATACAGATGTCAATGAATTTCAGCAAGAAAAAAGCCAAACCAAGACAGGCCAATACCATGATAAAAAAAAAATATCTGAATCCCTTGAAAGCCATCTGGAAGAAACAAAAGTAAATGATACATTGGGAAATAATCTTGCTTCTTTCTATACCAAGTTCTGTGCTACTGCTTGGGGCTTTAGAAGAGTTTAACCTCCCCCATCCCAACAAGACCCACACTGGAAAACCTACTGATGTCAATGGAATCCATGTAGACACCCCAGGTCCCATCATAGGCTCTTTGCCTCCGACATGACATAAGAGTATAATAATCAGACATACACTGCCAGGAACTCCCCCACCAGGTAGTGCTCCTGGAATGCATCCCTAAAAACAATTCTGCAATGTGGATTGTGGGAAGTAGGGAGGTGTTTCCTATAGACGTGTTGGGAAAGGATAATAGTAATAGTTTTATACCTTATTTCTCCCTTCATTTTTTGTCAGGTGGCCGTGCCCTGAGTATGCTGTATATCAGTGGGCACCAACCAGTAGATCAGAAACTACTGGTAGATTTTGTTGCCTCTGACAGGTGATCCTGACTGGTCTGGCCTGGACGCTATCAAGCGCTGGCACTTCAATTGCCCCTCCACCACTGTCATGCTGCTCCTGCCCTCTGCCTTGGAACTGACCCCCTTGGGAGTCTCCAGCTTGCTGTGCAGGGTGTGAGAGGGAGAAGAGGGGGTGGCGCTGATGTCAGGCTGTCCCTCCTTCCCCCCACTTTTGTATCTCACCTCCACACAGAGAGAAGGGGCTCGTGGTGTGAGCAGCCGGGGCTCCCCCACTTCCCTGGCAGCATGTTGGGCTGTGGCAGGCCAGCAACGGTGAAAGGAGGCAACATTGGGACTGAGCATCTGCAGGGTTTTGCACTGAAGTTCTCTCTAAGCTGCACAGTGGATCCTGAGGAGGCAGAGAGATCAGCTGATTAAGGGATAGCCCTCTGTAAACAGCAGCTAAATGCTGCCTGCCCAATGGAAGGCCATCAGCAGATAAGCAGGGAGTGAGAGGAGGCTGGGAGGAAGGAGTAATTAAGTGGCTTGAGGGAAAGTCCCATTTGCAGAGCAGAGAGAGGCAGAGACCCAGCAGGCTGGTCATTGCCCCTGCGCTGGGCAGAGGGATGTGAAGAGGCTGACTGCGTGAGGTGGATGGGGTAAAGGGAGGGATTGAGTGCTGGCATCGTGCAGTGAGGTGGAGTCAGGGGACAGTTTGTCTGGGGTGTCTGTCTCACTGCAATCCACTGTTTGGAGGAGAAGGGGGAAGCCTGATGTGTGTGTGTTGATACTAGGTGGACATTTGCATGATTACATTTCAAACAAAGTTTGCATATAGGTGTTAATCTTTTCTTTCTTATCTTCAGCCATTGTTTGTCTAGACTACAGGTTTTTTTTTTTTAAAGTGGCCTTTTTTTGAAAAAACTTCCCCCGTGGCTAGACTGCCACCACATTCTTTCAAAATTAAATCGAAAGAACGCGGTGGTTTTTTCGACTGTGGAAAGAGCACTTTCGAGAAAAGGCGTTCTTGAATGCAAACAGGGCTTTTTCAAAAGAGAGCGTCCAGACTGATCTCTGGGGGTATGTCTACACTACAGCGTTATTTTGAAATAGCTAATTCGAAATAGCTTATTTTGGAATAACCCTTCTAGACACAAAATGCATTTCAAAATAGCGTTTTGCTATTTTGAAATACCGCTTCCACGCTGAGTGGATGCTGAATTGCATTTAAGGCCAGCCAGAACCAGGTCCAGCAGGGCATCAGGTCAGGAGTTACTTTGTGTGGCTGCTGCCTGAGGCT